CTGACTCATCTTTTTGAATACAATTTTTGCAATGTTAACCCTTTATTTTCTGTCTAATTTTTTACGGCTGGATATGATGTGAATTACAACCACAACGATGATGAGATATTCCCAAAACTTGCACGCCGGGCCAGATCTAACCACGATTTCCCTATCCGAGGGCTCGCGCATTACACACTGCGCCACGGAGACTTTGTCTGCGTTCCTCTCTGCTAGTTTTCTACCTAACTCTGCCAACAACAATCACAATTTTTCTTTTTTGATTCCGTTCTTGCATCATAACTAAAAGTCATTTCGTATTCGCATAAAACCAAGTCATGTTACTGTACCGAACAGCCTGAACAAGAACGATTCGAGAAACATTTCTATTCATGAATATTAGAGAAGAGATTTGAGAAGTAGAAGAAAAAAGTGCATGCATCTTAAGAACAAGTGACCTACGTAGGTGGACCAGCAATTATAAATTATTATGGAAGCGTTTCAATCATTTACCTATTCATGAGACTGAACACAGTTAAGAGAGTGAGTGACGACAAGCGCATGCGTTAATTGAGTATTCCTCTGACCGTCTTTGTCAAATGTTCGATATTTCGTGTGGCGATATGCCTATTGTATGATGCTAGCAATACTCAGAACACAACAGGTAACTCTTAGCGTTCGTTCACTACTTATTTCAACAACTGCCACCAATAACTTCAATAATGCTGAGATATTTGCAAAACTCTGGACCGCAGGTGTCTATGGTGGGGAACGAACGCGCTATTATCCTTTCCGGGGAGTAACGCGTTCACCACCACACCATGTGGCTCCTTCGTTTCTCCTGTCTCTCAGCTATTTCTATCGATCTTTTTGCCACAGCAATCACCCGTCAGCGGGGTTGATCTGGGGAGCGCAAATCGGCATAAAACCCACTTAAGCTATGGCTGTAGTTGAAAATTTCTCAGCAACGTTGTGGTTGTATTTCGCTTAGTAACCTGCCATGAAAATTATAGAAGGCAGGAAACAAAACGTTAAACATTGTTATTTCAACATCATTGAAGCCATATTTCGCAATATATACCCTGCCATAAAAAAGAGTAGGCAGTAAATATATTTATTTATGTGATCTTGTAAACTGATCTTCCTAAGCTGACGCGACGTTGGTACACGTCTTCGTTGTCGTTGTCGTTGTTTTTGATGTTATTGATCGATGGCTGACGTTTCGGCCACTTCGCCTTTTTCAGAGCCTGGACGTATTTTATACTAGAATATTTTTATTATTCGGTGGGAAAGAAAGGTTAAAGTATTAATGGAGATCAAACTTTCAAATAGACGCCATATTGAACAGAAAGGCCACTCACCGTGATGTTACGTGCGGGACTGGCCCACACGTAGTTCACGAGAGCAAGACACGCTCCGGGGTCAAAATATCATTTTGAAATAGGGCGCCAGGTCACGCGTGATAGTGAGGCATTCGTCCTTCCGGTTCATCTTTGGATTTTTGAAATTTATCCAAAACGCCTCAAGAGTCTTGCACGTTGGTGTTTTCGATTCCTGCGCTAGGATCCGCGCAGTCACTTCAAAATCAGCCGTTGTGCTTTTGTGCCCTATGCGTACCTAGAGGGGTGTTTAAACGGATTTTAGCTTTCCCATCTAGATGTTCTTTTATGCGGACACAAAGTGGTCTACCCGTTTCCCCGATATATTCCTCGCCGCATGCATTACATGAGATCAAGTATATTATACCTAAACTCATGCAATCCCCGTCTCTCCCGTTAGGACAGATCATACAGTTTTCTGAGCTGCACAAACGACCATAGAGACGGTTTCGAACTAACTGGCGGCGTAGGGTATTGAGTGGGATGTCAACAATCGTTACATAATTTTCAAGACCACTTTTTCTTAAGCACTTTTTAATGGCGTGACTTACTTCATTTGATATGAAGGGCAGCTTAAAGAGGTTCTTACTTACGTCCGAAATATTATTTTGGGAAACTTCCCAACGTTTTCCTCTAACCCGAGTGGCTTCTACTTCGTAGCCATTGGAAATGGCAATTTTTCGTGCCAGGTTTTGCGATTCCTTCCTTTCCTCTTTTCCTGTACACACATTTTTACCCGTACGGTACATGTTTTTGATAAGTGTTTTTTCATGTGTGAAGGATGAGAGTAGAGCTAGTGAACTAGAATGCTTTTACTATTTGGCTTACGATACCATTTTGTTATATAGCCACTTACTGAGAGCTTTGTTTGGATGTTTAAGAATGGAAGCCAGTTTTCGGCTGGTATTTCTCTTGTAAATTTTATATACTCTGACTGTCGGTTCAACAATTTGAAAAACTCATCAATCTGTTCTTCTGTGGAACAGACGATGAAGCAGTCGTCTATGTACCGACAGTAGAGTAGGGGTCGGTGATCGAAAACTGGAGCTTCCACCTTAGACATGCAGGCGATGGCAAGGCCTGCTGCTAAACGCTGCCCCATGGCCAACCCTCTAATTTGTGCAAAATATTTTCCAGACCACCTAAAGATTGAACAACTAAAACACTATTTTAAGACAGTCATTAGTTGCGCAATCGACAAGCCATACATTTTTATTTTCTTTTCATGCTCTACGAACAACTCGAGAATGGCTTGCATTGCGAAGTCATTGGACACGTTGGTATAAAGTGAACTAACATCGAATGACTCCATTATATGCGTGCTGTTTGGTTGCGCGCGCCTTAGGTGATCTAGAAATATTTTGGTGTTAGGTAGATGGGTTAGAATGAATTCTAGTAGCTGGGTTAGGACAAGGTTTAGGAACCACGTTATTCTATCCGTTGGCCCGCCTATACAACTGATGATAGGTCTAACTTTAAATGATGATGGGTTCGTTGACGTAATATCACCAGTTGAAGTAAGCTTATGTGTTTTAATAAGCAAGTAAAGGACAGGGCAGATCGGTTGTTCGTTCTTAAGTCGAGAAATAACCTAAATAACCACATTTTTGTTGGTGTGTGAAGTTGGAGCTTATTTTTCGTTTTTGGTAGTGATTAAGTATGCGGAGAATTTCGTCAGAAAATAAACGAAATGTAGAGTAAATATCGCTATTTGGTAGCTCTTGTTTAAAGAAAGTTCGGGGAAAGCTATTAGTGGTAGCTCCCTCTTCGGTACTACTTTTCCTAACCCTTTTAGCCTAACCCTGTAACGTAGCTGATCTTGAAGTTCATGTAGACTACACGTGATCCTGCGCAGGATTGGTTTAGAAATGGGTTGACTAGGTGCAAAACTCGGACCCAATTCTAACAAGGAACGTACATTTTCCGGAAGCGTTATACCTCCTAGCACAGTAACCCTGGATGTTCTTGGTGTGCAGTCTATTTCAGGGCTTTTACTTGGGACTTGACCAGCGTGGTCCTTTCATTTGACCTTTTTGAGCGGCGTGATAGATCTTCGAACTTTTTCCTTAACTTGCTTTTAATATCGGACCGAATCTTTCGCATACCGATTTAGACCCAGCTACCATTCTCTTCCAAAGACTCCTCTCCAAATGCTGAGCACAATGGTATTCTTTGTAAACAAATTTGTTTAGTAGTGAAAACATTCCGTTTTGTGTGCACCGCAATGAAATGCGTAGCAGTTTTATTTCGTTGCTCAGCACTTGTTGAGAGCTCTCCGGTAAGCCGCATACTTCGCATAATTCCCTACGTTTTATAAAGTTGGGAATAATTCCATATTTTAAGCAGCGACGTAGAAAGTGGGTTTTTTGTCGCATTAAGACCATTTTCTGTCTCAATGACAATACGTCTCTTACAAGTACTAGGCTGGGAGTTAGTTTGCAACCGTCTCTACGGTCGTTTGTGCACCTCAGAATACTGTTCGATCTGTCCCAACGGGAGAGACGGGGATTGTATGAGTTTAGGTATAATATACTTGATCTCATGTAATGCATGCGGCGAGGAATATACCGGGGAAACGAGTAGACCACTTTGTGTCCGCATAAAAGAACATCTAAATGGAAAAGCTAAAATCTGTCTAAACACTCCTCTAGGTACGCATAGGGCACAAAAGCGCAACGGCTGATTTTGAAGTGACTGCGCGGATCCTAGCGCAGGAATCGAAAACACCAACGTGCAAGACTCTTGAGGCGTTTTGGATAAATTTCAAAAATCCAAAGATGAACCGGAAGGACGAATGCCTCACTATCACGCGTGACCTGGCGCCCTATTTCAAAATGATATTTTGACCCCGGAGCGTGTCTTGCTCTCGTGAACTACGTGTGGGCCAGTCCCGCACGTAACATCACGGTGAGTGGCCTGTCTGTTCAATATGGCGTCTATTTGAAAGTTTGATCTTCATTAACACTTTAACCTTTCCATTTCTGTTCAGCAAACACGAGCTGCTATTCCACTTCCCCACTCACGTAAAAGTTGACGTTTCGGGGGATTTCGCCTTCCTCAGAGCCTGAAAAGGTCAAGTTGACAGCAACTCATTCAGCCAAACACCTTCATAACCAAACAGAGAAAACGCTAAACCAAGATTTCAATCACATTTAGCATAGCTCTGCACACTGACCACTCACCATTATTATTTGTTGTTAGACTACCACTGATGCAAATTACGCAATTTTGCGTTACGCATAGACGGTCATATAGTCGGTTACGAACTAGCTGACGTCTTAGATTACTCGGTCGCATTTCAATTATCGTTACCGAATTCTCTAGACTCGCCCTTCTTAAGCAGCGTCTTATAGCTGCACTTACCTCATTTGAGATGAAGGGTAGGATAAACGGGACCTTTTTATGGCTAAAGTTATTGTTCGGGGGCCTCCAATTTCCCCTACACCTATCTCGTACTACAGTTTCGCAGCCATTGGAAATGGGTATTTGCTGCGCCAAGTTCCGGGACTCCTCTCCCTGCTCTCTTCCCATGCACACGTTGGTTGCCGTTCGAAACATGTTTCTTACAAGCGGTCTTTTCGTGTGAGAGGGGTGAGAAGAGAGGTAATGTACCAGGATGTTTTTACTACTTGGCTTTCGGTACTACTTCGTAATGTAGCCATTTTCTGATAGGTTAATTTGGACGTTCAGGAATGGAAGCCATTTTTCTTCCGGTTTCTCTCGGGTGAACTTGATATACTCTGACTGTTTATCCAACAACTCGAAGTAGAGTAGCGGCCCGAGATCAATTACCGGTGCTTCCACCTTAGACGTTAGCGCAATGGCGAGACTTGGTGCCAGTCGTTGTCCTATTGTCAACCCTCTTATTTGAGCGTAGTACTTTCCGGACCATCTGAAGATTGAGCAGCTCAAGCATTTTTTTAAGAGTGTCATCAACTGCTCTATCGTAGTTGAAACTTCACTGAGTAAACTTAGGCGCCAGCTAGTTCGTAACCGACTCTATGACCGTCTATGTGCAACGCAAAATTGCCCCATTGGTAAAGACGGTGATTGCATGAGCTCGGGTATAGTTTATCTGATCTCCTGTAAGGCGTGCGGAGACGAATACATTGACGACACGGGCAGACCCCTCTGTGTCTGCATAAAAGAACACCTAGCCGGTAAACGTCAACTAAATACCCCACTAGGCACGCATAGGACCCAGGGACATAACGGAGAGGACTTTGAAGCACGTGTCACGATCCTCGCACAAGAGTCGAGAACACAAGCGCGCAAAACTCTCGAGGCATTCTGGATTAATTCCAGAAATCCGAAAATGAACCACAGGAAGGAATGCCTCATTATCACGCGTGATATAGGGCAGTATATAAACCTGTTTTTCTGATGGGAGGGGCACTTTACGCTTCCATGTAAGTTCTGTGCGGTTGGTCTTCACACGGCATACTTAGTGGAAGAATCATAGAAAGCGGTGAGTGTGCGGAGCTGTGTTCAATGTTATTGAAATCTTGGTTTAGCGTTTTCTCTGTTTGGTTATGAAGGTGTTTGGCTGAATGGGTTGCTGTCAACTTGACCTTTCCAGGATCTGAGGAAGGCGAAATCTGCCGAAACGTCAACTTTTAAGTGAGTGGGGAAGTGGAATAGCACCCCGTGTTTGCTGAACAAAAGTGGGAAGAATTGTTCAGTCAATGCCGAGGTTAATAGAAAGTCGGACGTGGGAGTTACTTTAGCCTTTCTTTTCCACCGAATAATAAAAATATTCTAATATAAAATAGGTCCAGGCTCTGAAGAAGGCGAAGTCGCCGAAACGTCAGCCATTGATCAGTAATATCAAAAACAACGACAACGACAACGAAGACCTGCACCAGCCTCGCGTCAGCTTAAGAAGATCAGTTTATAAGATCACATAAATAAATATATCAACTATCTATGCCGAGGTTTATAGAAAGTCGGTCTTTCGAGTTATTAGGCAGTAAATAGTAAGTTGCTTCAACTCTGTGCTGTTGTCGACTCCTGTCTTTGTATGAACGACGAGTAGTTGGCTTTGACGAAAATAGAATGGTGGCCTTGGATGTGTGCCCATCTTTCATTACGTTGACAAATAAACATATTTCTCTACAAAATAAAGAACTGGAAAAACTTAGGAAGTGGTAAAGGTCGGCAAGCAACTGGTGCAACGAATTGATATGGTGCAAAACATCCTGGTTGAATTTGAATGTCCTACGTCGAGCCGGCCATATTCGCAGTCACTACTAAAATCTATGCAGTTTTACTCCAATGTTCCTTCTTGTAAGAGAAACTCAGAAAAAAAAGATAACGATTTCCCATTGGACAAGGATGACTGTACATCTTACCAAGTCCGCATCGTCTATTAGCGCTTTTTCAACTCTTAAAGCTTTTCAATTTTTTTCATCGATACGACAAGCATCTGAAGGTGTTTGTAGAGAACGATGAGACAACTGGCAATCCGTCAGGCCAATGAATTGGGCCGAACGACGTGAATTCGAGTTCGACTTGACCAAATCGCCAGTAATGGTCGATTTCGACTTTCAAGCAATTCGTGTGAGTACTTCAGTGCATGCTGTGATCTCTCATAGAGCTCAGTTGAAGTAGAAATAGTATGTCTGCTGCTTGTTTAGTAGAATCAAACGCTTCTTGTGACTGTCAGTATCGGCGGATTGATCACTTTCGTTCACGTTGTGCAGTTTCTAGCACCAAGTGAACAACGCACTTCGTCCTTGAAGTAGGGAAAGTGGCACTGAAATTCTTTTATAATGAACAAAATACCTTTTAAAAAGAAATAAAATCATTAGTTGGTAGACATTTAGAGGAAAATAAGATTTCAGCGTTTTCCTCACACGAGTGCGAGCACGGTCATATGAAGATCTACTTAGCAAACGATTTATGTGAAAGTGGAAGGTCCAGTATTTGCAAATACGTATGAATATATGTATATATAAGGGCGCATGTGAAGCAGTGGTCGGAGGCTCTTCGCGACTCACACATAGGATCGATCCCCGCATCTGTAGCTCACCAAGTCTTCCATCCTTCCGGGGTCGACAAATTGGTATCAGACTTGTCTGGGGGATATCAACACTAGCTCTATGCATTGGTAAGCCACCGCAAGTCATTATAGAAGTCAGATTTGCATTCAATCCTCTCTGACTATCCCTAATGAAGTCGAATGCACGAAGCACCCCTCGGGTGTTGTTTAATGCCGAGAACTTTATATATATATATATATATATAT